TCTATCATCATTACTGGAGGCAGTTGCTTCTCTTTTCTTTTCTATTTTTTTTGAGTGACTGCCCTATCATAATCTTTAAATTAACGAAATTCTTAGGATTTTCTACCCAAGGAATAGATAACATTAGGATGTATTTGGCAAAAGCTTTCATTGTTTCGATTTTCTGGGTCCACAATGCTCTTCTACTTCGCACTTTATTTGGCTTTTTTTTACCTTTTTGATTTGAGCGTCACTGATGAGTCTTTTGTAGACGAAACGCGCGTCTGGCGTACAACATTTTAATCGTGGTATCTATATATATCTAAATATCTTTTTATATAAATTTGTTCTTTTTAGAGCATGTTCAGTTATTCATAAAACTTATAAAAACGAGATATTCTTCAAAGCAAAGTTTTTCCTGTAGAATATTTGGATTGATTTCAGTAACATTATTAAATCCTTAAAATTTGAGATATTTTATGAGACAAAAAAAAAATGTCTGTATATAAGAGGTCCCAATGAAGCTGGTGTGTTACTCTCAAGAACAAAATCGAAACCTTCTTATACGTTGCATGCCACAAAGTTACACGTTCACATGGAATTGGACAAATCATCTATACCACATCTACCATGAGTACAGGCAGCTTCAATAATGAGTACTAGAATATTTGGAACAAAATATGAATATATGAAAGATAAAATAAATGAATCTATTTATATAGCAAACTGAGTGCTCAAATTTATATTGCGGTTGGTCTTTGCAATTTGCTTAAGGCATACGGTTTACAGAAACTACACACATTTCACATTTTCAATTAAGGGGTTTTTTCATCAACATTACCTCATTTTTTTCACAGTAAATTATTTCAAATCAGAAGTAAAAAAAAATCAGAATACAATGTTTTGGTGACCACTCTGTCTGTTTCAGCGGTCTCGGGTTCACGTGTTGCTTTTCTTTTTTCTTAAAGAAAGCAACTTGTATTTATAATTCTGTGAACACGTTCAAAAAGTACTTATTTGTGGTGGGTTTATTATTTACAATTTGTGGGTGCAACGAACGTTACAAAAAAACTGTATTCGAAAAAACACAACATTCATAAGACAGTTATCATGTCTCTCATTTTTAAGGTCATAGATCAGTGATCTCAAATCGAAAGAGACCAGGTCAATCACTTGTATGGTTGCAGAGTAATACTGATTACAAATACATAAGGGGAGAAAACTCCTATAAGGGTTGACCAAAAAACTTCGACTTTAATGGGTTGAAGTTGCGTCCTATGGTAAACAATTATTTGGCAAACACATCATATCATTAACTGTTACGGATTCTTTTGAATAAAGATAACAAGCAAAATTCTAAATTTAGAACATGACCTTTAACCTTTGACCTTGACCTCAATTTCATCCAAATGGACCAAGGACTTCATATCAAAAGGTTTTAGGCCTCTATGACTTATAATGTATGAATTTATCCAACATATCACCTATGTTAAATTTTCAAAGGGAAATACCTCCCATAAGATGTCATCCAATCACATCAATTAAATTCAACCAAACCATTCTTAAGAGCAGACGAACAATTTGGTGAAAACAGTTTGTTAAAATCTTTTACGGTTTCAGAGATATAAAGATAACAAGAAAAAGGGTACGTGGGGAGATAACTCCTATAAGAATAAGTGTTCGATTACACAGGGTGAATTTTGAAATCCCCATTACCGTACGACATCATTGGCCAAAAAATCCTTTCGATATGTTGTAAAACAATAAAGCATCTCAGACGGCAGAAGAAAAAAAAAATAATCAGCAGAAAAGCAAACGGTCTTTTCACGATGCAAGCGCTCTTTGTTTCCTGTGAAAATAATCGATGGAAATCAACTCTTTTTCGTTGAATGGTCGTGGAAAATCAAAATGAGTGAAATTTGTGTTGTCATGAATAGAACGTAAAAACTTGTACGTAATTTTTCAACAAAAAACATATTTCCTATCTTGTCACTATATTAGCTATAATTGATTGTAATATTCGTCAATGAATCCTTATTCTTCTTTAAATGTTTTTTTTTTTTTTTTGCAATTAAAAATTATTTGATATATTTCGTGCTTTTTATTCCTAACTACGAATAATCATAATCAGAGCCGTGTTTCTTGTATTAAAATGAATTCTCTGCTTTTGAGAAATATTTATTTTGTTATTTAATTTTCAACCGCTTACAACTGTAAGCTCAGTAATTAATCAGGAATAACATACAAATTAATGTTTAGTTTATCTCATGGAACTAATGTTACATTTTATTGGATGAAATGTATAGAATCTATTCTTAATGAAACTGGTTTATCTTATGTATCGTTAATTCAAACTTGTATGAAATTTGAACAAAGACTGCTCCAAGATCAATTTAAACAAACATGGTATTCAGATATCCAAAAGAACTCGAAAACATTAAATTACCGCCTTTTCAAGGAACTCTTTGGATTCCAAAAGTATTTAGATATTTTGGAACCCCGTGATATTTACACTCTATGTCAATTTAGACTAATTAACCACAGATTACCGATAGAAAGTGGTAGATGGAAAAAATTTCAGAGAGATAAAAGAATATGCGAACAATGAGACTTAAATGATCTTGGAGATGAGTTTCACTATGTAATGAAGTGTAAATTTATGGCTGTAGAAAGAAAAAAATATATTGATAAAAAGTATATTGATTATCCAAATATAATTAAATTTAAGGATGTTATGAATATGACAAAATATATTTAAAAAAGCTATGTACTTTTATAAGGCATATTAATTCATGTGTGTGTATTCCTGGCTAAATTCAATTTAGATTTGTATATAGTGTACATATTATGTTTTATTTTAATTTATAACTGTGCTATTTATTACAAGTAACTTCTGTATACCATTGTATTGACGAAGGTTTATCAGAATAAAGATATATATAAAATTGTAAATTATGGTATTTCGCTGGCTATTTTTTCCCGATCCTATTTTGGACCCCATGATTCTAAGAGGGTGTGTCTAATTAGTCATGCCCGATTAACTTTTAGTTAATTGAACCTCAACTTAAAGACCTAATCCGGGTTAATAATCATAAAAAAGAAGATGTGGTATGATTGCCAATAAGACAACTCTTCACAAGAGACCAAATGACACAGAAATTAACAACTATAGGTCACCGTATGGCCTTCAACAATGAGCAAAGCCCATACCGCATTGTCAGCTATAAAAGGCCCCGAAATGACAAATGTAAAACAATTCAAACGAGAAAACTAACGGCCTAATTCATGTACAAAAAGATGAACGAAAAACAAATAAGTAACACAGCAACAAACGACAACCACTGAATTACAGGCTCCTGAATTGGGACAGGCACACACATACAGAATGTGGCGGGGTTAAACATGTTAGCGGAATCCTAACCCTCCCCATAACCCTGGGACAGTGGTGTAACAGTACAACAAAAGAACGAACTAAAAAAAATCAGTTGAAAAAGGCTTAACTTATCAGATGGATACAAATAGAAATACATCTAACAAAAACACAGAGTGGACGTGGCCGGGTACTTGTACATCCCAACAACAAAAAGACACTAAGTACAGATCTGCGAGTACTCGCAGTTACTGACAGCTAGTTCAAAGCCAATAACAACTAATAAAAAAAATCATGCATCTAAGACTAAATTATCAATCATTACACATCCATTAGTGTAAAGACGTCATAAACAGTCAGAGAAAAACATGACCTTGTGCAATGCCAAGATACATGTATCGACAGATTGTAGATCAATGAATGTGCATATGTATATAATAATATTATTTAGTTTGCTTTTAATTTACTGATAACAAAATCAATATTAATACCAATAAAAACAATATTCAAAGATTTAATTACAGTGTTGAATTGGTAACCTTTTAGAATAAGTTTATTTAAAGGATCGATAAGTTTACCAGGATCGTTTCTAATTAGTTTGAGGTACAATAAGTAAACAAAAGAGATTCTTTATAAAATAAGATCGTCCCAGGTATCTTAGATAATTATTTTGCATTGAATAACAATGACAAATGCACGAACAGATTGGTAAATCCAGTTAGGGCGTATGATCTTTCGAAAGTGACAGGCCTTATCAAACCAGTAACGTTCTTAGCTAACCTGTCTCTATATGTAATCGTGCAAGCATGTGTACAAGTATATAATATTTGTATCTGTCACTGACGACAGCCGCACATATATTCTAAAAATGGTCTAACAATAGTAAACATGATGTTTTGTGGGGTAATAAAAATTCAACATCGCCAGACGATTGAAGCTTTTAACGTCGCTTTGCAAATTAAAATCTTTTGCCAACTTCCATCTTGTGATAGGGGCAACTAAAAATGTTTATTTTCTCTACCATTAATTTTCAAGGCACTATAAGTCATTAGTTGTTTCTAAAACTTGAATAGAGTTACAATTCTGTAAATTCATGGACTAGTTAAACATATTTAAGTAAACAGACATCAAACACATGATTTTGTGTCAGAGAAGGTCTACTTTCACATATATTTGAAATGTAAGTGTGTGAATAAGAAGTGTGACAACTTGATATCTGATCAACGAAAACGACTTATCCACGTATAATTTTACTGAGATTGTCCTGCACACTTTAAACACGATGGGTACCACGAGTGCACGGAAAGTTTAACATATCCATTTGTTGGTTTCGTATTGATCCTCAGTCTTTATGTTTCTAGGTAGTTTTTATAGAGTACTATTTTTCTTTCGTATTTTTTTCTACTTTTAGCAGTCGTATGTTGTCTGATCTTCCCTCAATTACATTATTTATTTTATTTTTCCTTGGTATCTATCTTTTGTTGATGTTCCTAGTTAAATATTTTAAAACATAACATATGATCTTCATCACATATACGTGTATAAACTCCAATAACACATACTTTAAATGTCATGATAGTAAATTATGTACAACAGTGGATAATTGTTCGATTAACGATGTGTCTACAGTGACCAAAACCTTGGATCACATGAGCAATCAATGTGGTCGCTGTTTTTAATTCAAGGGATATTCCTCATTTGATTTGGTAAGTTGTCTTATTTACTATGAGTGAAAATGAAGTGCTGTTTCAGAATAATTAAATGTATCATTACTGACGATTTGTACATGTAAGGGTGACGAAAATTACCACAAAATCGCAAAACAGACTGCAGGATAAACGTAAACATGGTAAAGAATGTAGGTCATTCACATACAACATCTATTTATTGGATTGTCTTAATATTTTAATTTGATATAAAAATAAAGAGATATGGTATGATTGCTGTTCGTCAGGCAATCGATCATATGCTAGTTTACAATTTAAAAACAATATAAATTCGATATATATTATGATAAAATATTTCATAGTGACATTCATTTGTTTACAAACAAACTATTCACGTGATATGTGACGCAATTTGGATTTATGAATGAATGAAGGAAAGCTTGTTGTATTTATTTTTTTTCAGATGTTTTATTAATTTTTGAACACACACTTTATATGTTATTTCTTGTGAATTCTTCATCTAATGTTAAATAACTTTGTTTTTATCGAAAAATTCAATATTTTCTTGATAATGTATTTGTGATAAGGAAAAATGCAATATCACTTTTTCTTATAGATCTTTTGCATATTTTACTATAGTTTTGATAGAAATGAGTTTTGATTTATTTTACAAATAAAAAGAATTTCACTGTCTTCATGTCACCCAAATTTATAAGTTAATCTTAAAAGGGAATAAAATAAAATACCAGAGTTAGACAAAGAATTAGAATAGCCATTGTTTGCCATTTTTCCACAAAAGATTAACAAAAGCGGAAAATTAGAGTTTATTATATTATCTATAGACGATAGCAAATATTATGTAACCTTTGACCATATGTTGGATTAGCATGTCCGGATTAAGACCACGCTATCGTAGATTTGAGCTCTTAGGTGACATGGGGCCAGTGAACATGGTGAAAGGGATAATAAGATATTTTCCTTTGTCATGTTTGTGTACATAATTATTTTACCCATATGAGCTTCACCTGGGAATGAAACAAAAATTGTGTGTGTATTTTAAGAATCTCTGGTCACTTGGACATTGACCAGCAAATAATAAAGATCTTTTATTTTACAAAGAATTGGTTTTCATTCCAGCTACAATAGCCATATACCATCAAACAAACAAACAAGCACTATTCCAAGTTCACACTTCTATAGTCACTATCAGAACTATTCGAAATGAATCTGTTTTACAATGTTGCCTTACATGACTAATTAATGAATAAAAGAAATAATCTTTATTAAATTAATTTGTATATGTATTTTAAACTTTTCCATTGACTGGTATTAATTTGGAGTTCACTAGTTGAACTACCAGTAAATGGAAAATTACAATGCTTGTGATATTTATAAATCGATACGACCTTATTTATATCTGCGGTTACTAGAGCATGACGTCTACACTGAATTGTTGATTAAGGAACGACAAAATTTTGACGAGATTTCTTATAGATGTATCAAATTGGAAAAAAATTGTAAAATATTAAACTTTAAGTACAGTTATCACATAGTTCAGTTATATGCATGTGTTGGTTTAAACATGCACAAAGCAGTAGAAAGATAAACTCATTCGTCAGTTCACTTCAAAAATGAGAAAGTGTAAAAAGATTCCAATTATGAATATCTTAATACATAATTACAGTAAACAGCGAATTGTTGTACTGCTGTAATAATGCCAGATGTATTTTAAATAAATAGCGTGTTGTTGTACTGCTGTACTGATACTAGTACTTTTTTCTCATAAGGGCTTACGGTCTCCACAGTACCTTATAACATGTTAAGTCAATGGTTTAAATAAGATACCATTTGTCAAAACCGTTTGTTGTAAAACTTCAAGCAGAGATAAAATTGTAAAAAAAAACCAGATACATGTACAGTCGACAACTTGGTTTCTATGTGAGTTTTAGAGCAGGCAGTGTATGTTTCTCAACTCTATAACGATATGTTTTCGGGTTCTTATTTCTTTTAATACAAGAAAATCGTCAGATCTGTAAATTTAACAATTGTGTCCTGTTCCCAATTATGACATTCTGACTAAGTTTGGATTCCCATGGCAGATGATGCATGCTTAACAGGGTAAACTTACCCAGTTGACAGTGTTTCTCGCTCCGTTCTGGAGTTCGTGCCATCTCCTCAGTTTATCTAGATAAGGAACAGAAAAGTTTTATTCACTCGAGAAATAAAAGTCGATACTTTAATTAATATAAGATCCTAATAGAATAATAGTTAGTAAACAATAAATATTTATCAGCATAAACACAAGGGAAGCCGATCTTTGAATTATGTGTCGAAGTGTAGATTGGTAACTTGGAGAAATGGGATAGGAAATGACCTAAGTTTAGGACACAAGTTTAGTCTTAGGATAGTCCTAACTAGGATATATTTTATTATGGTAAATTTGTAAACAAATACGGCCGACGTATATATACGTTAATTTAAGGAGAAGGGCAAATACATTTGGTAGAAATAGACTGATTAGGGACTATGATAATCCACTGAACAATTATTTATCCGATAAAGTGGTTTATGATCGAATTGTTGAATGGAAGAAATAAATAGCATAAAGGGATTTCTTGCTACCTATCGTAGGTATATGAGGTGCTTTATGAGCATTATTTTCGTGGGTATTGCCAAGCTTCTTGAAGAATAAGCAGCTTAAGTATTGTATCCACTAGGTTTATTGTAGAAACTTGTAGTTTCAATTTTCTTGTGTTTCTCATGAAGTCTTTTCCGTTTTGTTTCGGCGTATGATCTTTGATAGATATAGGGCTTATCCAACTAGTAACAATCTTAGCTAACCTGTCTCTATCTGTACTCGTGTAAGCATGTGTACAAGCTTATTTAAGTATATTATATATGTATCTGTCACTAACGACAGACGCACATATATCGTAAAATTTGTCCGACAATCGGTTAAAAATTATAAGATTGTATATTTTATGCCCACTTCCATCTTGTGATTGTAGCAAGCCAAGATGTTAATTTTTCGTACTATTAATATCTTAATCCTGGTATCTATGATGAGTTTATTTAAGGAAGTATAGTTATCAGTTGATTCTAAAACTTGAACAAAGTTACATTCGTGTACATGCACTTGCTAGTTTGGCATGTTAAAGTAAACAACAACATGAAGCACACGATTGTTTTTATCAGAGAAGGGCATTTTTTTTAAATGTGAGTGGGTGAATTGGTGGTGTGACACCTTTATACCTTATTAACGAAAACGACTCATCCACGTATATTTTTACTGAATTTGTTATGCACAACTTCAAAACGACGGGTGCCACGAATACAGCACGACCAGTTACTATATACCCTAAAGAGCACCTTAACTTTTCCACTTCTTTGTTTCGTATTGATCATCAGCCTTTATGTTTCTAAGTATTTTTTATAGAGTATTATTTGTCTTTTGTATTTTATCTACTTTTATCAATTGCTGTTGTCTGATCTTCCTCCAGTAACCTTATCGTCCTGAACGTTCATGAACAATTTGCCACTGGACGTTAAGCAATCAACAATCAATCAACAGAGTTATATTATTCTTTATTTCTCTTTGGTTTCTTTCTTTTGTTCGTGTTCCGAGTAAAATGTTTTAAAACATAACGTATGATCCTTATTACATATACACGTATAAACTTCAATAGTACCCACTACAAATGTCTTGATAGTATATTACGTACATATTACGTACAACAGTGGATACTTGTTCGTTTAACGATGTGTCTACAGGGATAACATGACCAAGGTTTAATGTGGTCGTTAGAATGTTCTTCATTATATTTGGTGCGATATCTTAATTACTATGAATAAAAATGAAGTGATTATTTTTAATAATTAAAATGTTTCATTTATGACGATTTGTACATGTTAAGGGTGACGAATGATTCCACAAAATCGCAATTCAGGTAGCAGAAAAAATGTCATGAATGTTGTTCATTCACGTACTACATCTATTTAGTTGATTTTCTTATTCGAATTAAATATAGAAATAAAGAGATATAGTATGATTGCTGTTTGTCAGGAAATCGTTAGAAAATAATTCAATAACACATAATAAATTCGATACATATTTTGATAATATTTGTCATGTGAGGATTATAAGCGACGTTCGTTTACAAACAAACTAATCACGTGACATGTGACGTAAATCTGATTTATGAAGGAATGAATGCTTGTTCTTTTTATTTTTTTTCTATTTTTTTTTATAAACACATACATATCGGATTTTCGTGACAAACTTTTAGTCTACGCATAATGTTTGATAACTTTATTTTAATCGAACATTCAATTTCTTTATTTCATTGATAATGGTTCCAAAGTTATATATAACAACTGTTCAAACTTGTCTCATTGACCATGTTGCCTAATGAGACTAATTAATGAACAAGAATTTCTCTTCATTACATTTTTATACGCATATTAAAATTTTCCATTGACTGGTATTGTAAATGGAAAATTACAAGTCATGTGATGTATATATATATCGATACAACTTTATTTATGTCTGTGGTTACTAGAGCATGGCGTCTACGTTGAATTGTAATTTTACGTCAGTGATCACAAATGAAATATACTGACAAGCTTTCTTATAGATGTATCAAAAATATTTTTAAGTACAGTTACCATTTAATTCAGTTATATGCGCGTGTTGGTTTATATATGCACAAGCGGTGGAAAAGAAAACTAATTCCTAAATTCAGTAAACAAATGAGAAAGTGCGAAAAGATTCAACTCTGAATATCTTAATACATAATGCCAGTAAATAGCGTCAATGATTTAAAGACACCATGTGCCAAGACCATAGGTTGTAAATCGTTAGAGTAGAGATACAATTGTCAATAAAATATAAAAATAAGAACATGTGGTATAAATGCCAACGAGACAACTCTCCACAAGAGACCAAATGACACAGAAATTAACAACTATAGGTCACTGTATGGCCTTCAACAATGAGAAAAACCCATACCGCATAGTCAGCTATAAAAGGCCCCGAAATGACAAATGTAAAACATTTCAAACGAAAAACTAACGGCCTAATTTATGTACAAAATAATTAATGAAAAACAAATATGATACACAGAAACAAACGACAACCACTGAACCATTGTGAACTACAGGCTCCTGACTTGGGACAGGCACATACAGAATGAGACGGGATTAAACATGTTTGGCGGGCACCCAACCCTCCTCTAACCTGGGACAGTGATGAAACAGCACAAGAACAAACTATAAAAAACAATAAACGAAAACCCCAGATATATGTATAGACGACAACATGGTTTCTGACTTTTGAAATAAACAGTGTATGTGTCCCAACTGTAAAGCGGCATGTTTTCTTGGTTCTAGATCTTAAAATACAGAAAATCGTCTGATCTGTGAATTTTCTTATTGTTTCCCATTCCTGATTGTGACATTTTGACTTAAGTTTGGCGGTTGATGCTTGCTTAGCAGGAGAAACTTACCTAGTCTACACTGCGTCTTGCTCCTTTTTTTTTGAATTCATACGATTCTCTCAGTTTTTTGTGTTTTACCTTGATTTATTGCATCTTCTAAATGAATTTATGAGATGTCAACATCGTTAATTACCTGTTGCCTGAAATTCAAATTAAATGTTATAACTCAATCATCACATTATGTCGTAATGAGTAGGGGTACAACAGGGATAGAAATTAATGAAAATAATTTAATGAGGATTAAAACAAAAACAAAAACCGGTTTTGTACATGTCATGACCATCACAATGGTTTCCACTGGAACAGTATATTTTAAGCCATGTTTTTTTTGGTGGCGTTCATATTGCTAAATATTTAGTTTCCTATACATGTATTTATCTTTTCGACTTCTTGTGGTCCTTCCCTTCTTCGATTAGGGATATCATTTTCCCATCTTGGTATCATCTTACTTTTGAAGAAGATACAAATCTATTGGTTAGACTATGATCAAATTCCATCAAAAGAATATATCGCCTGAATATACTTGAATACTTTCTACATCTCTTGTTCCTGATTATAAGAGTAGTACTCAATTTGGTTATGGAAAATACGGAAAAGAGAAAACAAAACAAAAGAGAAAAAGTAAAACAGAATTATTATCCATTCAAGAAAAAACGGAATAGTACAAACTACTTTTTATAATCAATTTCAGATACATTTGATAAAGTTAGATGGTAAAATTATTTTTACTACCAGTATTTACTCTGCATATACTGCTTTTGGTAGCGCCAACGATTTTCACAGAGAATAACAGTACACTGTTCATGAATAGTGTAGGTTTCTCTGAATGTGTTATTGGCATACAATACTACGACTTCGATCAAGAAAAATGTCGAAGATGTCAACGTTGTAGAAAAGCTACCAATTACTTGCAGTTTGTAAGTTTGGATATTTATTTATAGTTAATAGGTACTGGGTCAGTAGTTTGAAACTTGAAAGAAAACAATTAATAATAAAATGGATTGTCCACATTTTGCCTTTACCGAATAGAACACTTATGCGCTTAACTATTAACTAGATGTACATAGTTATCAAATACAACAGTAAACGAGTTTGAAATACTATTTCCACAATATGATCAGTAATAATTCATTGCTTCTAAATTAAGTAAATGATCTATATCAATGTTTTACACACTAAAAAAGAAAGGCAGAACTTATACAAAAGGGATAATGAAACTCATAAGTCGAAAACGAACTGACAATGTTATGGAAGAAATAAAACGAAAAATGAGCAAAAGACAGATAACAGTCTACAAAACATAGACTTATACATACGATTTGTGCATCGAGTCTTCATCATGCTTTCTTACACTCTTTAGAATATCAGAATCAGTCCAGAACATGGAGCGTTAGACTGTTTTCCCTGTTACTGCAAGCCTGGTGTGAAGTTCTATGACGAATATGCTGGTAGATGTAGTAAGTGTCCAGTCTGCAATACACATGGTTATATAAATAAAAGCAAGGCAAGTAAAACAAAATTGACCATTTTCACATTGATTCTTTTAGATGTAGCCAAGTTAAACTTTTAGTTTAGAGTAGCGTTCACGTTTTTTGCAACACATATACATTGACCATGAATAATTAACGAAACATCATATTGTAAAATCGTTTAACACTTTAAAATTCCTTAAGGATGTAGTCTGGTGAAATTTAAAAAATCTGGAATTTAAAATTGATACTATAAATCAGAAGAGCTAAGCATATTGATATTTGACTTTTAAAAGTTGGCGGGAAAAGGCTAACTAGGACTTGTACCTTATATTTAGCTTTGGCATGTTTTGGGTCTCAAATTGTAAGAAAAGAAATATAGAATCTGCTTAATTTTTGGTAATGATCTTTTATGAGCTATTGAAGCCTTCTTTGAAAAGAAAAGTGGATGAAATGGGGCAAAATATTTTACCCTGTATCGTAAGAAAAAACCAAACGAGTCCGAACATCTGACAACAATTCCTAAACCTGAAATGACTACATCCTCAAAAGAACATATGGGTATGGGTTTTTTCCTCATTGTTGAATGCCGTACTGTTGCCTATAATTGCTTACATCCAGACCACTTCATTTGAACTTTGGTGGATGGTTGTCTCATTGGCAATCATAACACATCTCCTTATTTTTATATAGTAATCTTAATTCCTGCTAATGAAGAATTATCATCACAGGAAATACCTTCAGATGAATTTCATGGAGCATTTGATTGTTATCCGTGTGTATGTGATCCTGGATACTTTGCTAGTGCCTTGACACATTACCAGTGTACAGAGTGTCATGATTGTCATGGACAGAATAAACAGTTCAAAACTCATTGTACACAAGACACAGATTCAGAATGTGGTGACTGTCTTGTAGGGTAAGATTGTTTTCTTAAGTAAAATCCTCTGTCTTTCATTTAACTTGATTATTTAATTTAAATCGGTATATTCGTATTCATACAGTTTGTAACCTTTCAAAGGCATTTCATAAAATAATTCATTCATTACTGCTATAACCGATCATTTTGTAGCATTTATCTATCTATTTAGCATGTAAAAGTATGATTTGATATTTTTGACAACTTTTACAATTGTTGTCTCGCCTGCGACGAAAATCGCGGAAAGCGATACATAAGGATTGCTTTTCCGGCGACGGCTGCCGCGATGGTGTCAACAATTGTTTAGTTTTCTGCGTAAGTTAGTTTGATAGGAACTACTTGTTATAGATCATTTACATTTAATATAAAGTTGCATTTCTCTCAGTACATATCAGTTTGACGACTATTTCGAGGCCTGCCTCTTAGGTCATGGTCCAGCAACTTTGAATTAACTAGCAATTTTCAATGTTAAGTTTTCTGCTTTAGTCTGTTTGATAAGAACTGCTTGTGACAGATCAATGATATTTTTATAAAGTTGCATAATTATCAGTACATCTAAGTTTGTCGACTATTTCTAGGCCCTGCCCACAAGATCATGGTCCAGCGACTTTGAATTAATAAGGAATGTTGCTGTCCATCAGATTGTCTTTTTCTAAATTTTATGCGGACAGGCGATACATATCTCTGTGTCAACAGTTTATTGTATTAACCATCTAAAGAATATAACAGTAATGGTTTATCGTATGGTGAATGGTGATATATTTTTCAATTTCAGGTACAAAAAATCCTGGATGGAAAATGCAGCATGTGGTAAAAGATTTCTTTTGTTGAAAACACTTAGTATTCATGTTTACATATTTTATGATATTTTTATTTATATTTTAAGAGAATATTTTGTTTACTCAATAGTATTTATATTCAATGCTTAAAATTCCACTATTCTGTGTATTTAGCAATTTATTTCTATGACAACAATCATTGTTGAAATGCAAAATGTTGACACTTTACACATGTCATATGGAATTCCTAAAATATTTCTGACTAGTTTATGTCCATTCCTTGTATTAAATATATTTGATTTTATATTCTAGTAAAAATTGAAACAACGACAGTTACCCCAGAGCTCAGTTCAACTCCAGAAACAACAAATTTAGCTCCAATCGTTGGTCATAGACAGGTGAAGAGATCTCAAACCATACTAGTTGTTATACTGGTCATTGTAACTTTTTCTGCATTATGTATTATCTTCATGGTGTACCGTTTCATAAATCACCCATCATGTTGTAGTAATGTATATCATGATATAACAGCCTCCACCTCTGCTGCCACACTCACTTCTAGGTCATCTGTGAACAAGAACGATAATAAACCAGAACAACTGAATGTTGGTCATGCTGGTTCTACAGACGCTGCTGTGAATACTTTGCGTAAGTTGTAGAATAAAGTTGACATATAGCAACTTTTGAGTTATGCATAAGGAAATTTTTACATTCTTTAAAAAATTACGTAATTTTTTAAATTAAGTTGAAACATAGATACTTTTGATTTATACATTAGGGACATTTACAAATTCTTTCGAAATAAGTAAACGTTCAAGGTACATAAAATAATTATAAACGTTAGAGGTACAAAGTGGTATAGAACGACAACGAAAAAATACAATCAGAAAAATTAAACAAGTCACAAGTGACATTAAAAAAAAAAATATTATAAGAGATTAAAGTCACATACTATTATAACCCATATGTCATTAACAATCAGAGTTGTCTTATGTTCTTATAAAATATAGGATAGTACAATAAATTAATACGCTTAGCTTAAAACTGTTTGCATTATAACTATAACGTGTAAATAATGTACAATATATAACATTACAAATGTGAGATATAAAGTATTTTCAAATAAAACAGGATTTCATGATCTATCAAAAACTGGTTAAGAGTTTGAAATACTTTTATAACTGAGACGTGTTTATTCATACTTTTTGTTGACTAATGTTTCTTAACATTTCTGAATCAAACATTATAACAAATATTACTTAAATTGTATTATTATTATCTGTAATTGTATTTTCAATACAGTTTCAGAAATGACTTTATTACAAAAAAATTTACGTAAAACAAATATGACAGACATGAATCAATAAAAATCACTGAACTACAGGTCCCTGGTTTGGGAGAGGTACATAAAGAATGTGGCGGGGTTACACATCTTTGTGAGTGCTTAAACCCTCCCCTTAACCTGGGACAGTGGTGTAACAGTACAACATAAGAACAAACTATAAATATCAGTTGTAGTTCTCTTAACTCAAAAGATCGGTACAAGGAACAATAGTAAGTTAACAGTTGTTTACAAATACAACAAGTAAACGAAGCAATTTTATTCACAATTAAAAACCAATTGTTCAGAAAACAATTGAAGGTCTTTCCACCCGAAAAAATCTATTTTGATACAAAAATATTAAAATTCGGTTTAAAATGTTATTTCCAGCGTCAAATGATAGCTCATTGTACGCTGGTTTAAAAAAATATATGGTTTCTAGATAATTTTTTTCAAATAAGGCAGATGATTTGTTACTTCCGGTTTGATAAATGTCACTTCCGGTTTTATTTGATAGTTTAACTGACACTGATTCCAAAAATATATGGTACTATATACTTGTACATTACACAAGTACAAAAATAGCTACTTCCGGTTTACACAAGGTCACTTCCGGTTGGCTTTTCCAAGGTCATATGGCTTGCAACCAAATGCATAAAGTCCCATGGCTTTATCATAATACATATGAAGCAAAAGCAAAGGTCAAAATCTAGAACGTCAAATTTACCAATGACCTTGAGCTCAATTTAAAGGTCATAAATCAAGGACCTAAAATCAAAAGACACTAGGTCTTTATTATATATTTTGGATGAGTTATATCACCATACGCGTAATTTTAAATCTAAGAGGGGAGAAAACTCCAATTTAATGTTAGCGTACCTTTTCAACCAAAATGTGTGTGTTACGACATGTCGCAACAAACAATTTAGTAAATATATGTTGTCGATATCTTATACGGTTTTTGAAAAGAAGTGAAATTAAGCCAAAATCTAAATTAAGAATATGACCTTGACCTCTGACCTTGACCTAATTTTCTTTTTTTTTTTTGGACCAAGGACCTCAAATCAAAAGACCTTAGGTCTCTATCACTTATGGTTTACCAGTCAGAAATGCATACCACTTATATCAAATGCATAAAGGAGAATAACTCTCATATGGAGTCTCTGGATAGCTTTGGTCAAAATAAAACGTAACATCCTGAGGATATAATGAGCATTTTGGAAAAATAAATTTGTCGCTTTCTTTTACGATTGCGAAAGAGATCTCATAACAAGAAAAACAGTTTTCGGGGAGATAACTCTTACACAGAAAAGTGTTCGGTTAAACAGGGTCAGTTTCAAAAGCGTATAGACTGTATGATATCATATACAAAAAAAACTAAGCGACACCTTTTGAAACAAAAATACAGCGCAAGAAAAAAATTTGGCGGAAGAAAAAAAAAAAATATATAAATCAATTGTTTTAAAAACAATTGTTAACGGTCTTTCCTTACCGAAACATGATTGATTAATTGATTTTTTTGATTCATTGATTGATAGATTGATTGATTGATTAACTAATTAAACACATATGACCTAGCCTCTAGGAACACACGAAAAAAGGAATTGAGAGCCTAGTGCCCGTGTTTAAACACTTGAGACCAAGCCTCTAGGAATACGCGAAAAAGGACTTGAGAGCCTAGTGCCCGTGTTTAAACACTTGAGACCTAGCCTCTAGGAATACGCGAAAAAGGACTTGAGAGCCAAGTGCCCGTGTTTAAACACTTGAGACCTAGCCTCTAGGAATACGCGAAAAAAGGAATTGAAAGCCTACTGCCCGTGTTTAAACACTTGAGACCTAGCCTCTAGGAATACGCGAAAAAGGACTTGAGAGCTTAGTGCCCGTGTTTAAACACGTAAGACCTAGCCTCTAGGAATACGCGAAAAATGAATTGAGAGCTTAGTGCCCGTGTTTAAACACTTGAGACCTTGCCTCTAGGAACACGCGAAAACGGGTCCGTGCAACATGTTTATTTATATGTAAATTAAGATATTTGTAGGAACATGCAAGGATTTAAACACACCTACAAAAATATCCTTGCATATTCCTTTATAAATGTTCTTTTTTTGTATAAGGCTTCCAAGTATTTGTGTCTTATTTACTTATTGTGTGTGCATTGTTTTCAATTTTGTATTTAAAGGAAATCGGACCTGGGCCCGTATGCATAAAACATCTTAACTTAAGTGTTCCTTAAACTTAGATTTCACTAAGAATTTCCTTAGTTAAGTAAACATCTTAAGTCGTATGCATAACATTACTTAAGTCTTCACTTAACTAAGGAATACTTAAATCGGAACCTTTCTCTAATCACCGTATGATATATGTTAGCTCATCGCATGTACTCATCCGTGTAAACGTTTGTTTTGATTATTTACATTGATTGAAGCAACATAATAGTTTTAAAGAACTGATGTTAAATTGATGTTGGTGTGTAAAACAATAAACAAATACGTAACCAACTAAAATAACCAAACAAATTGGCGCATAAGAGAAAACGTTGTTTTGGTGGGCGAGCGTGGGAAGAAAAACATATTTATAACGCAAAACATCCCTCTACTGTTACTAAAGGAGAGATGAAAGGGGGTTGGAAGGAAATTGATTGACTTATCGATGTTTGCTTAAAGTCCAGTGGCAAATATGCCATGCATGTTCAAGAAGAGAACAAATTAACAATAGATAAAATAAGTGGATCTTGTAATAGACGCTTTCCGGGATGAAGGTCAAGAAAATTTGGACTACCACTAGAAAATGAAGGTATATTGGATAGGGACATAATTCTCCCTTGCAACAGCTCACCTACGGACCCCAAAGAGTTGTTGTAGGTGTTCTTAACGGTCAGAGTGTGTGGCACTCTCTCCACACGAAGCATAGGATTTAACTCCCTAGTCTGACCGGACGTGGTTGCGTACTTGTACATCCCGCACAGCCAAACTAACGTCCCGCTTTGGCAAGATTTTTACTGTTGGTTGGAAATAGACCAAATACCGTACTTCTGGTCGCCACTTACCATTAAGGATGAAAAACGAAACAAATATATAACAATATAATAAGAAGAAGAAAATCCATCAGGAGAAATTCTTAAGAGATACAAAAGAAGTGGGACAACTTATACATGGCGTGATAAATGTAAATTATCAAAAGATTCCGAGTTATCCACTTGCAATTTATTCTTTTTAGCAAACAAAACTCCAATCATTCGAGGAGTCGCCGAATGGAAACTCAACACTATCTTGTAGCAAATCATCCAGCCTAATAATGGTATATGCTAGTAAAATCGTAATTAAAAAATAAATCCACGTCATCATATTAATAAAACAGATTTGTTCCATCTCTGTGCCACCGACCATTCATCTTTCATGAGCGATGCTGGATGGAATTGCAATATGTTTATTTTCTAGAGACAACAATATATTTTTTTAACTCTAACAATACATGATAAAGTTTTTTTTTAATTTCGATTTAAAATAAACTTTTTTATCACTCCCTTTTACAACAATAAAAAAGGGGGTATGATCATTTTCCATGAATTCATATCAAAACAAGGGCATTTTTCAAAAGTCCTTCAATCTTTTACTAAAACACACATTATTAGATTCGTATAGACTCAAAACTGCATGTATTTATGGTAGGTTTTGAAAAAAATGAACAATTATCCAAAACTGGCGAGAAGGACCTTATTGTTTTATTGGAAGTTATAACATAAACTTTTTTCAGATACAACATAATTTATTTAGGTTAAAGTCTTCCAGTCTATGCAAATTTGCAATATTTTTGTTAACAGCAATTTATCACTAAATATATAAGGACATACAAAAAATTATTGAATACGGGTTAAGTATCATTAATATATCATATATATATATAGACTTCGAATTCCACAGAATAGTCTTAAAACGTTTTGATTTTGTGCCAGTTAGTGAAACAAATTCAGGGGAAATTTGCCTAATAAATGTAGAAAAAAAACCCCAATATAATTGAAAATTAAACCCATGTCCCCCCTCCTCCCCAAGAAAACAGGATTTTGCATGCCTATAGATCCTCATCGCTTCCTTCCTTCATACAGTTTTGTACTAACAGTTACAATCAAAACCAGGCGGTGTATTTCATAATACTTGTGGAAGCAGGCACGAACAAATCAAAAGAAATATAATTGCATGAATTCCATGCGTGTAAAAACTGTGAGTACTTTTCGGAATACACACTAACGAGATTGGGAAATAATAAAACTACCCTCTGTTACCCCTTGGCTAGAGGAGTGGTTGATGGCCTTGGATGATTAACAAAGATGTTACGCATCATGATAGCTGTAAAGTTTGAAGTTATAATTCGTTAAATTTGTTCATTTTTCCATTCCAGTGGCATGGAACCCCCCAAAAAATGACGAGTACCATTTCACCAAAAACTCTCCAGTTAAATCATGTCGCGACTAACATTTTGAACACATTTTTTTTAGTTTTACCCCTAACTCTTTTCTGGGTAAAAGCAGCATGAAGTGAATGTCAAAATTAAGAACATGACCTTGACCTTTGACCTTGACCTCATTTTTTTAAGTTGGGACCCAAGGACCTCAATTAAAGCGACTCTAGGTGCCTTACGGGTTATGAGTTCATATGCATATCACTTATATTAAATGCATAAGGGGAAATAACTCTCATATGGAGTCTCCGGATAGCTTCCGTCAAAATTAATCAAAACATCCCGAGGATATAACGAGCAATTTGGTAAAATAAATTTGTCGGTTTCTTATACGGTTGCGACGTATAAGAAATAACAAGAAAAACAGTGTTCGGGGAGGTGACTCTTACATGGAAAAATTTTTGGTTACGCGGTCGTATTAACTGTTCGATATCATATACCATATTGTTAAGCGACATCTTGCGAAACAAAAAAACAGCAAAGGAATAAAAAATTGGCGGAAGAAAAAAAAAAATAATAATCAGAACAAAAGCAATAGGTCTTTCCACCGAAAAGTGGAAAGACCTAATAATCAGAACAAAACCAATAGGTCTTTCCACGAAAAAGTGGAAAAACCTAATAAATAACAAATTAGACCAAAACCGCACAAATTGAAATAGATTTACACCGGAAGAACTGGTATATCAAACTTATTACAGTCATTCGTCTAGCACTTATTAGTCCGACATTAAAACCGAATACTCCATGATAATTCATTACACATTATGATCATAGCTAGGAAGGGATGTACATGTTTTAATATAAAATGAAACAAAATAGAAAGACAAATATATTGTCATTTTGCCTTTAGATATAAGGTTATAGGAGTTTTATCATTTTAATTTTAGAGCTGACAAAGCCAAGAAGGATAAAAACAAAACAACTTTACAATGTTGTTATAATCTTAAATGATATTACAAAATGTTTATAATTATCCGAATATAAGCTAGTAAATATTTAAATATTATTCCCATGGTATTTTCCGTTTAAATTCAGTACTAATCAACAACAATACTCTTAACATATCAATGTATTACCAAATAATTACATGTACGTTTCGTTATAATACGTTATTTTGATTGGCTAACAGCAATATCGCGTCATTCTGAAATTGACCTTCATTTCAAAATGAAATGTAACATTCAAGATAACACGAACTTCCACAATAAAGTGCACAGGTAAATAAAAGAAAAACTTGATAGACATCGTGTTTTCATGATCCTAGCAAAAAAGTGTAATTATAAGTATTGAATTCTTCTTTTAGTAATTTTATAGGGTTGTAAAAGCGTTGACCGTTGACCGTGCGCACATTTTTGTACTTCGAACAACGCTTTTACACCCCAATAAATTTACAAAAAGAAGCATTCAATTCTTAAATAAGAAAATGTCAATTTAAAATATTGCAGCCAAAATATGACAACCTGCTGGCCTATAGTTAAGATCCATTCTGTTACATCTGGTGATCCGTTTATTTGGCAATCGCCAATGGCAGTCAGCAGGGTTTAAGAACATCCGTTGTTCGACCTGTTAGTCAGTTGCGTTTTGTTTAAATGTACCTTTTCACTATTTTGGTCTTTTGGAAAATATTGTTTGTGCTGTATTTAAACCCCTCTACCAAGAAACTTGTTTTGCAAGCACACGTATAAAAATCTTTATCCAACGCAATCATAGGTTTGAACGTTGTTTTCAATTTAGACTTATTTATATTTTTTCGTTTGGGCTTGTATTATATTTGCCTTCGGGTTTATATGATCCGTTCATCCTATTTCGACTCTTCAAAATTCAAGAATCATCCTAAATTGAGGTAAATTATATGGCCTTCAAAATACCGTTTCGATTCCTAACATCACTAAAGAGACATTAATTGTCGAAATCCGGTTATGGTGTACTCATTTTTGCACCTTTTGTTTGCGGTATACCATCTTTTCCGCAAGTTTATTGTTTTCTGTTTGGTATTAAATTAATAGTTAAGATCCATTCTGTTACATCAGGTGATCCGTTTATTTGGCAATCGCCAATGGCAGTCAGCAGGGTTTAAGAACACCCGTTGTTCGACCTGTTAGTCAAATGCGTTTTGTTTAAATGTACTTTTTCACTTTTTTGGTCTTTTGGAAAATGTTGTTTGTGCTGTATTTAGACCCCTCTACCAAGAAACTTGTTTTGCATGTACACGTATAAAAATTGCGGTTTTTATCCAACGCAATCATAGGTTTGAACGTTGTTTTCAATTTACACATATATTTATATATATATTTATATAATAAAAACTATAATGGGAATTTGTGTTATAGTTTTTATTATACAATCATTCAGAGACTTAATATATATTTATATATATATATATCAAAACATATCATTTAGGTTTTACTGCCATATAAAAAAATCGGACCCATCACATGCGTTTTTTTGTTTCATAGGCAGAAAAATTACTCTCCTTTCAGCTAGAGTTAATTTTGTATTTGAGAAATTTAAGTCATTATGAAAACTGAAAATAAGAGCAGGAAAAATATATCACTGTGTATAATGAAATATCAGCTGCAACTCATACAAGAAGATTTTTATGGAGATAATTGATTGAGCGTGCAAAAAAGAAATGCATGCTAGTTAATTTAGAACATTAACAGTTAACTCCTTTTGCACATATGTTTTTGTTATTACGAAGAGTTACCGTTATTTTGTTACAGATACAACTTATATGTATTATCCTATTTTATTAAAATCTAGATTGCTGCTGAATTTCAAGACAATATCTTTTATAACATACGTGTAGTATATCATTTTAATAACTTTCATTTTCAATAATATATCCGAATATTTCTAATTGACATGCTGAATGCACTTAGGCAGAATGCATAAATGTATGAGATTCAGAATATAATTGTCAAAGTATGTATTTAATTGGAACGGAATGCAAATTGAAATCGAATATACAATATTGTTTTTATCAAAGTATAACACACGTAAACTTACCATGAGATTTAAAAATCAATATTCAAAGGTTAAAATGTCCCTATACATGAAAAGTGGAAAATGTAATCTTCGCATTCTATAAATGAAACCAAAAATATATGAAATATGAGATCATTGCTAGCTCTTTTGTATATTCTTGTACGACCCGTTACCGTCTTAACTTTTTAAAAATATTCATAGAATTTACAGAAAGTTTAATCGACTTATGAATTATTTTTGGTATTTAAATTTGATTATTTAAGATGACGTCGTCACGTTTGACATTGTTGATTTGTCTATTTATATGATAAAAATAAATGGCGCAGATAGCAGCAAGGGTATGTAATATATGCGAGGAAAGCGAGGGAAAATACGTCTGCTACGAATGTAGTCACTTTTTGTGTGAATGCTGTAAATGGTTGCATGCTAAGTTTCCAGCTAATAGACACCATACGGTTACGGACTCTGTATCGATCGATCTTCAAACTTTCAGTTTCAACCATAAATGCGAACAACATAGTCTTGAGTTTCTGCATTTCTGTAGTACTTGCAGTTGTCTTACATGTAACGAATGTGTTACATCTGAACATAATAGTCACGTGTATAGATCTGTTGGTGATGTTGCTGCTGATGCACGTGAAACCATTAAAGAAAAAATCATCAACGTAAAGGATAAGATATCACGCTTGACACAATTAGTGGAGGAAATCAAGTTTACGACAATGTTACAAATTCCAAAGGATTACGAACAGTTCACACATGATGTTACACAATTATCACACGCTTTGAAGAACATTGTACAAGTAGTTTCAGATGTGAATACTAATCATGCTTCTGACTTCCTGGCCCTGGAAACAGCACACTGGAATCAGAATCTTGCTACAGTTGAAAAATTGTTACAAGAACACACCTTCATATGCACAAAGTTGGAAAATATCATGACTGAATCCCATAATGTAACATTTTTTATCAACTGTTCTGAATTATTGAAAGAAGTTGAAGCATCTGAAGATTTTCCTGTATTTGAAGAAACGAATAGATTGCATGGATTAAATGTGAAAGAATTTATCGTAAAAGTAGTAGAAATGATGAAGTCTCAATACGATATCAGGTATTTATAAAACAAAATGTTAGTATACACGGTAGGGCATTTTGCAAAAGCTGAAGTTATTACGAGTCGATGTACAATAAACAGGCTATCATTCTATCATTTATTATGGAGAATTATCAACATGTATAAAGTTATGAAACAGTTACATTTTTAAGGAGAGTTTTGTAAATTGGTTCGAAATAAACTCATCATAGATAGCAGGCTTATCTTAACTATACTCATGTTTCGTTTACAAGACAAACATCAGTGACGCTTGCATAGAAAAAGTTAAAGTGGGTCAAATTAGACGGATTTTTAGGATATTACAAAATCAAAATTAACTGACAATTCCTCATTTTTTTCTATTAGCAATATATATCATTGTAAATTTTACAGGAACAACTATTTTGTAGAAACTAACTTATATGGCGTTTTAATGTTGTACTTTTACACGAATTTCCTATTGAAAATATGTAAGATAAAATTTCAAAAATATACTGATATTTGACACTTTGCTTCGGTCTGATTAAAAAATTCATGGGTGTAATCTTGAACATTTATGAGACTTTTTGTTCTTATTTGTCACTTCAATGGGCCAGATAAGTGATATTAATGGCATACCTCTCCTTTAAAAAAAATGAGAGGTGAAAAATGGCATTATATGGTGAAGATTCTTATAAAGTGTCTATAAATCTAATAAAGTTTGGAGAAGTTGTGGATACAAAATTCGTTTGATTTTTATGAAGCAATGGTAAAGTCCATGATTTACCAGAGAAAAGTTTCGATGACGCTAACCCCCAACAATAATCCGGATAAAAAAACAATATATGAAGTGCAGAATGTCATTCAATGTTGAAATTTTTGAGAAAAGCAAACTTATTAAATTATGATTTTGGGTTCAGTAGAAGCGGATTCAAATACATACTTTTGTGTTCCGATATGACTAAGTCCATGTCATGCCAAAATAAAAACTAAAAAAATTCATTTTGATAAAATAAATGAAATAGACATTTATCATGCGAGTTAGATTCTGTGAAAATTTCACAAAATTCTGCCAAGCAGTTTAGGAGCAGATGCGGACGATCGGGCCGACTCACTAGTCACTATGTTCTGCCTGTTTCAGAGTGCAGGGTATAATTAAATGACTAGATATAAGAAGATGTAGTATGAGTGCCAATGGGACAATTCCATCCAAGTCACAATTTGTAAAAGTAAACCACTATAGGTCAAAGTACGGCCTTCAACACGGAGCCCTGGAGCGTAATAATATCCTTAAGTATAACATACTTGTATCTGATAGCATGTCCTTTGTATCTGTAAACGTTATTTTGTTCTACATCGGCCGTGAAAGTATCCCAAATTACTTACAGTTTCCCCAATCGTTATATTTCTTGTAGCCATAACTTTCGTAGTCCTTTTGTAATTTTCTTTGCTGACTTGCTGACCAATGTACCAAACACATCATACACACCCGTCAAATACATGTATTGCAACTAAGTCAAATTCCACCTTGATCGAATATTCACTTTCAATTAGTCAATACTCTTGTCTACAATAGCCCTTCTGAGAAGGAAAATGATAGTTTGAATCTAGACTTAATATCACTTACTTGTTGTAGTCTTCATGTAGTTTGTCAATTAGGGAATTTGACAGGGAAGGCATTTTTGTAAAGTTCGGTTAACTTTGTGTTTAAATTTTCTAGAGTGGGCACGGTGTAACAAATTGACATATTGAATATCAAAACTTGCCTGTTGTTTAGTTTAAACATATCTTATTTGCAAAAGTAGCAAAAGGGATTTGATTCAAGTTATAACAACATTTGTTGTTGATTGTTGTTGGGGACTATAAACTGAAATTAAAGGGTTCTTTATTTTTAAGGCATTCGGTTGTTATAACGTTGGCGTTTACTGCAGATCTATTTTTGTAACTCACCTAGCCAGGAAAGCCATGCAAACAAACTCATCAAAGAGACCAGGCGTATAATTGTGTACGCCAGACGCGCGTTTCGTATACAAAAGACTAATCAGTGACGCTCGAAAAAAAATAAATTAAAAGACAAATAAAAATAAGATATTGTTCGTACGTCGTCTTTGTTCGAAGTCCGTACACACCTTTTGTTTCCATTAAAAAAAATTCTTAGACAGTGCCATACAAATTTGCTAGGATAAATGTATGGAAGGTGCTCTTCTAATGATCCTCATTTGATTCCGATCTGCCATGACCATAAGAAGCAACCTTGGATTTTTATTTACCAATTTGCGGAAATAAACTTGAAATACGAGTCGAAATGTTTCGAAATTTTATAGCATTAGTGAATAGAAGACCTTCTCAAACTCTTCAGATTTAATGGTGATCATTTGGCGAACCATTTGTGTCAAATATCTACCTTTGAATCTTTATGAAATACATATGTCCATCTTTTCCGAAACTACCATGATCTCATGTACTCCGGAAGGGTAGGAATATCCTGCTCCGTCGCACGCCATAAAGGTAAGACGATCCTGTCCCGTCGCACGTAGAACTTGTCGTGTTGCTCATGTTAAGGGAAAACAATTGAGATAAGTTGCAATCGGTGATTTCATAATCAGGGAAATGAGGACGGGTTTGTGGCAACAACAATAGGAACATATTCATGGTTATCTGTATCTATTCGAGTTGACAGCTGTAAGTACGTACTGAAATACTTTAGGATATATGCCAGGTATTCTCTAACCTAAGGTGCAAGAACAATGAAAGTTCAAAAAGGGTAGTGAATAAAGCTTTGTGTGGATGTGATGCATACCCAAATTACTCTGAAAAAAGAAACACACACCTCACTGCAACTTTAAGACGGCCCCTAGTACCGGCTTGAGCGGAATTCCTTGCAAAAAAACTCGGATAGACTTTATAAGATGCAACACCACCAGATCGGGCCCGGTCGAAAAGAACATACTGGAAAGTAGTATGTATTTAAAACAAATGCAATTTCAACCATAGGTTGTCGAAATTCCCAGTAATGTTCCTTTCGTCTGCGGTGAGGTGTTGCAAATTTAGGTCCTGTGGTAAACATTTTATTTTCTAATGTAAGGCCACACCAATTTAATTTCTTGTTGTACGGATTTTTCCACTCCAAAAATTAGGGCGAGCGAGCGAATTGAAAATTTTAATTAAAAAAAATTTAATTTGCAATTGTTTGGGGCGAGGCTTGAAAAGTAAAGGCAAGCGATTATAATTCATTTTTGTAAACATAAAATCATTCTGACAATACTGATTAAAACAAAATGGTATAAGACTTGATTTACCACTTGTACTTTGGCATTTCTAACTGCTGAAGTGTTGTTTTTTTTTCTCCTGTTCTCCAAGACAAGTAATGACCACCTTTTAATTGCATCATATTTATGACTACTTGTATTACTGTTAGTTCCTGAGGACATCAGAAATTGACCTGAATAATTGAATAATCATTTCAATTGCTTCAAATGATCTCCATTGAATTAGATGTCTTTCCGCCTTCACTGTACATGACTTATAACTAGAACCACGGCGGGTGTCTTGCAAGAATCAGGAACTGCTCATACTTCCGGGACACCTGTGTTCACCTCCTGTTTTTTTGGGGTTCGAGTTGTTCGTTGATGTGTGTACATTTTAGTTTTTTGTGTTATATGTTGGTTGTCTGTGTCTCCGTCGTTTTGATGTTCTCATATTTGTTCCTTGTCATTTTAGTACAATGTATATAAATTAAATGTAGATGTGGTGTGAGTGCCAATGAGACAATTCTCCATCCAAGTCATAATGTATTTAAAGTAATCAATTACAGATCAAAGTACGGCCATGAACACGGGGCTTTGGCTCAGACCAAACAGCAAGCTATAAAGGACCCCAAAATTACTAGTGTAAAACAATTCAAACAGGTAAACCAACGATCTATTCTATATACAAACGGAGAAATACATATGAACCACACAAACAAACGACAACTACTGAACAACAGGCTCCTGACTCAGGACAGGTGCATACATATGCAGCGGGTATGGATAGTTTTGTTCCGGTGGGAAACGGTATTGCATTTGAAGGCAACACTTCGCCTTCTGATTAGTTTATTCTAACAACGAAAATCGGCATTATTTTGTTTAAGAATCGTCCTTGACTTTGATGAGAAATCTGTGAAATCTTGCGATTCCATTATATCTTTTTAATGTTTACAAAAAAAAAAAAAAAAACGGCGCGGGAAATAGACACGATTACTTTTCCGTTTGGAAAAAAATATGTGCGGGCGGGTCCGACGAACAAGGAATTAAATTGGTGTGGCCTAACTTACTTTATTCTCCTCATTTAAGTTACCTGAGTGAGGAGTCGACGCAATATGAAAATGAACTAACAAAGTTAACCGACCAAATACGGAACGATAAAGAAAGATATCAGAAAGAAACGGAAGACTTACATGTCACATTAACAAGCCAACAATCCGAGATAGATGAACTAAAAGCAAAGTAAGTTGTTCTAACGTATCATTTAATACTCATAAACCAAACCCAGTACCATAAAATGAGATATAAACCCGTTTGTCATAAATTATATATACCAAGTTCTAACAAAAAAAATTATGACGTCTTGAAAGGCTATTTTATTTTTTTGCTTTGACGCCCGTATTTTTTTTTAATCTTCTAATAGATAAATAAGATTTGTATATTAAGATTAAACAAAAAATATAAAATGTTTAGAACGAATATGACGTGTACAAGTATACAGGTGTTTGTGAAAATATCTATAAAGTGGTATTGCGTTCGGTTTATGGGCAGTTTAGTTATTTGTTGAAATTCATTACAGTCCAGGAGCTTTTTTGCGGTCACAGGGACACACAAAATGATTTAAAATCACTTTCCGATATATTAATATCAATGATGTCTTTTCGATGTGTTGTTATATACAGCAAATATATTCATATAGTATTATCTAAATAACTGCAAGGATGTTCTGAATATCTATCAAGTAGTATTTCCTTGAATCTATATGAAAAGAAGCCATTAACTGCAACTCATGATAATTAAAGAAACAAACATTCTGAAAGTATTACATTAACACTACAATGCAATGTTTTCAATGGAGACGGGGATCTTTGACTTGCATGTATATATTTAGAAATAAAAAGAAATGTACAGTTGTCACTTGAACAATTGACACAGTAGAATAACTCAAGTAATCTTTTCTGTATTTTATTAAATAGAAACATAAACAAAGGAAGATTATATAAGATGGAAATAGGAGAGTTAAAAGATAAAATAAAGAATGACGAAGTGAGATATCAGGAAGAAACAGAACAGTTACAGGCCACACTAACAAGAAAACAAGACGAAATGGACGAGTTTAACTCCAAGTAAGTTGCTTTTACATGTATTACAAAGGACTAATATTATAAAATTAGAAATACACTGACACACTAAAATGCTCCCAAAGATTATTCAGTACCTGCTCTATAAGTGATATCCATTATGTTTTTAAGCACATTTAGAAGTTATGATAAGTTGCCTTCAGTGATGAGTCTTTGACAAGGAAAACATGGCTATTGTAATTGGATCATGATCATGAGCTAAATGAACATCTAGGCTCTTTTCTTTGTAATTGATTACTTTTATCGTAATTGCATGTGAGATATTGTTGTCATTTTATCATAGCTGTTAGTGAGATATTTTAAAGACCCAGATCAAGTTGTCGGTAGACGCGTGCTAAATATAAGTAGACGTTATAATTCCAATTTAATGGTCAAGCGCAAAGGGAGAGAGACTTTTTTTTGGTTTACACTCTTACGACAAAACACAGAAATAAAATAAAGGTACTACTGGGTTATATAACATCTAATACAGACATTGCAACACTTATATTAAAAACAAAACAAAAATATGAGTTTTTTTTTTTTTAAATTAACAGTGTCATTTCCAAACAAAATATGTAATGTTGATTAATCAATTACAATAGTTTGTACTAAATAACCTAATTATATGTGAAACCCTGATTTGAATGAGACTTATTTTCCTTTTTAAGTTATATATTTTAAATACAGATTCCGAGAGACTAGAATAAATGAAATGGAACAAACTATTGAAGAATTACAATTTGAATTATTAAAACATCTTGGTACAACAGATGCTGATTTAGAAACACAACAGTTGAATGAGTATGTAAATCTAATATAAACTGGATTAGGGATGTGCATTTTCACTATGATATTTATAAATATCTCAGTTTGGAGCAATATTTCAATCAGAACTTTAGGATGATTAATATAAGGCAATGCAGTAGTGTATGATTTAACTAGAAAAGACCGTTGTTATTCGCTATTGATTGATTGATTGTTGGTTGCTTAACGTCCAGTGGCAAATATTTCATGCATGTTAAGGACGAGAACAAATTAACAATGAATACAATAGGTAGGTGCTGTAATAGAGGCCATCTTGGATGAAGGTCCTGGAAATTTGGACTGCCACTAGAAAATGAGGGTATATTGGATAGGGGCAGTCTTGCAACACACCACCTACAGACCCCCTCAAAGAGTTGTTGCAAGGGTTTTTAACATACAGAAAGCGTGGCACTCTCTCTACACGAGGCATATGATTTAACGTCCCCATTCTGACCAGACGTGGCTACGTGCTTGTACGTCCCGCACAGCCAAACAGACGCTCCACTTAGTCCAGGGTTTTACTGCCGGTCGGACCAAGAATGACCATATTGCTATTCCCCAGTCACCCTTGAGGGTCGCTATTGATTGAATCATAATGTTAATTTGTAATAAGTTTAAAACTTTTAGCCTTATTCTGATCATTGTATTTGAAAATAAATGAATATCATAACAATAAGAAGATGTGGTATGATTGCCAATCACACATGCAAGGGGCTCTGCCATACTTATTAATGAATATTCCTAAATGTCTTGATATTTTGTATGTCATTGTCAATAGCAGTATATGATTGGCAATGCATGGGTAAAGTGTTGTTATATGATATAATATTCACTGATTCTGAATATATTATGTTTTACACTCTACGGTTGCAGTAACCAAAAAAGCGTTATTTTCAACTTTGTAAGGCTTTTCAAAGATCAATATTTTGCCTTATAACATTCCTTGGTGAATTAATAAAATTGAGAATGGAAATGAGGAATGTGTCAAAGAGACAACAACCCGACCAAAGAGCAGAATACAGCCCAAGGACACCAATGGGACTTCAACACAGCGAGAACATCCCGCACTCGGAGGCGGGCTTCAACCGGCCCCTTAAACAAAAAAATGCACTAGTTTAGTGAAAATTGACGTCACACTAAACCCCGAAACATATAAATGAACTAAAATTAAGACGACACTAGCACACGGGTACATCATGTGAGCAGAATCTGATTCCCCTTACGGAGCAAATCACCCCCGGTATGTTGATAGGTTCTTGTTGCTAGGTCTTTAGTTTTCTATGTTGTGTTTTGTGGACTTGTTTGTCTTATAAATGATTTCTGCCATGGCGTTGTCTGCTTGTCTTTGAATTATGAGTTTGAATATTCACTTTGGTATATTCTACCTGTCTTTTAATAAATCTCACAAGACGGAAATTAGGATTCCTGAAGGTTTTGGTTTATTTTTTATGTTTTTTGTTTGTATAATATATATATAAGACGAATTGGTATGATTGCCAATGAGGCGATCATCCACTAGATTTCAAATGATGTATATATAGTAATTACAAGTCACCTTCAGCAATGATCAACACCCATACCGTATAATCAATCAAAAAAGCCCCGACATTATAAAATGAGAAACAATTCATACAAGAAAACTAAGTAACGTCCAAATTTATAATATAGTTCACGAAAATCAAATATGAAAGACATAAACAAACGATAACCACTGAATAACGCTTTTAATTTGGGACATACACATAAAGAATGTGGCGGGGATAAACATGTTTGAGAGTACTTATCAATTCTTTTCTAACCTGGGACAGTTGTACAACAGCAGAACATACGAATAAACTGAAAAAAATCAAGTGTTTAATTCAATAAATCGATACACGGCACAAAAAAGAACCAACATAATATAACACTAGAAACAAAGCACTGATAGCTAGGTCAAAGCTCCCATGTTCTCCAAGCCTAAATTATTAATCAGTTTATATTCAACGGAGTTAGTGTAAAAACAGTTCGAGAGATGCATAATATAGTGCAATGCCAAAATATAAGTAAACAATATCCTCAAGGTTTTTTATTTGAACATATAATCCAGTCTCGTTGCTATTGATTTGAGTCGTTCGTGAATTGTTGTCTGAATATAGATTTTTTATATCCGTTCTTAACATTCCTGGTATGATTACATGACCACAATAACAATTTGTCCTTTCACTTAATTATTCTAATTTAAGTACCCGTGAATATTGCACCAGTTCCACTGGACATGAAATCATGCCAAAGGTACAACTAAATCTAACTTATTTTGATATAGATATAAACGTAGGTTCTGGTTTAAACTTTACGACAAAACAATGACGTCTAATTTTCCAATTTAATGCAGCAATTCTGTATTTTACCTGCATGGGGATTATACAAGGCGCAAATAGGAGAGCGACAAAGTAGATGCTTACTCTTTTGGAGGACTCAAATTTCCCACGTTTTATTTTGTTTGATTCGGGTTCCTCTATCTTTAATTTTCTGTTTTTTTATGGACTGTTAATTGTTGTTTTGTCTTTTGTCTTTCTTCCTTTTTGCAAATGCATTGTGTTATGTCCCGCTTTGAATTATGCTTTTTGTTTTCTGTTTGCCCCTAGATATTCACATACATATGCTATAATTTGGGTATGGATAGAGAGAAGTAGTAAATTAACATACATATCTTTTGGAGGACTCAAATTTCCCACGTTTTATTTTGTTTGATGCGGGTTACTCTATCTTTAATTTTCTGTTTTTTATGGACTGTTAATTGTTGTTTTGTCTTTTTTCTTTCTTTCTTTTTGCAAATGCATTGTGTTATGGCCCGCTTTGAATTATGCTTTTTGTTTTCCCTAGATATTCACATACATATACTATAATTTGGGTATGGATGGAGAGAAGTAGTAACATATATATCCGGCATTCCAAAAGGTCACAATAAGAAGTGCTCAAGTCGGGGCCTTGTTGAAGGCCATACGGTTGACTATGATTGCTAACATCCACTTCATTTAAACTTTGTTGGATAGTTGTCTCATTGGCAATCATACCACATCTCCTTCGATTTATATCATACAATCGATTGATATTTTGACTTACAAAAATTTAATAATTCAAATAGTTCAAAAATGAAATACTTTTAGGAAGAAGGAAATAAAAGAAACATTTACACAAGCGAACAAGTTATACAGATGTAGATTCTGCAAGTAAGTGTTGGAAGTGAATTTTTAATATTTCATCTCAAAACAATGTTTGATTATCACTGAGACCCATTGTACATACTTACAGATAGTTTCAGTCACCAATAGTAAGTTAGGGGAAACGAGATCTAGTGATTACTTTTCCCACCGAAGAACGACTTTTGCGACAACGGAGAAGTTAAAACGAATACATTAGTGACTGATTCCCAGCATCGAAATTTTATTGATGTTTATGCTTCGGACGCATTAGATATATAGTATTATTTTCATGTTTTAGCACTTGGTGGAATACTATTACAGGGTATCATCAGCTTAGTGGCCAATGCTTCATTTTTTATATACATTTCTAAATTTGCAGTAGACATGGATAGAAACTATTAAGAAAACGAGTTTTCCAATTTCCTGAGCTAAAGTAGAACTAGTTGTCTTTTGTAATACTGTTTATGTTCTTCTGGTCAGAAATTTAAAGCTCCTCAAGTATTCATACACCCTTGAGTTTCAAATTGTTATGAGCGTTCCTGATGTTTATGCTATGATAAGTCTAAAAAATTTTACCTGCAATTTTTTATGTTATCATTAGTCTTTGTCTGGCAGATAATTAATCATTTAAATATATGTATCATGTCCATGCTATGGGGTCAGAAAGTAATATACTGTTTTTAACATTAATATATATTAGACCATAATAAATAAGAAATTTTAATAAGATGGACAATTTTAGAGTTGGTTCGATATACCCGTGTTTGAAGTTACGTTAAAGTTATATTTTCAATACTAAATCATAAATATCACAGATAAAAAAAATCCAAAATTTAGTGTAATTCTGTGACACCCTTATTTTTACGGTAAATGAAGACGACAGTAGTTTACTGATGTTCAAATCTCGTTTATCGGTTAGGAAGACACAAATATAGAAAACAAACAGGGTAAGCGTTTCCTGCTATTCATGCATCTTCCATCTGTATACTCCTTTCATTGCAGTCGCCTAACTGACAAGGATTTTTGTCTATTGTTACCTTGTATCGTATTTAATATTGATATGAATAATTCCTTTCGACTTGATTTCTTTATATTCCATTCCTAATAAAGATTGATTATATTTTTCTAATCGAATTCTTCAAAATAAATTAATTTTTCTGAGTGACGATTGACTTACAACACGTGAAGACACGATGTGATTTTATATGTTTACTTAACCACTGTTTAGAAAGGTTTCATGGACGAAAAGGGTGCGAATAGTGGGGCTGGCTTAAGTCCGACTGTACTATTTCGAAAAAAGCTATCCATTGCCGAAAAGATACCAACAGTAAATTCACGCGAGTAGGCAGAGGATAGCGCAAACGTTGTGCATACTCCAGGCGCTCTATGAAAGTAGAGAGAATGCTATATTTGGTACAGTGTGGGTCTAATTAACCATTGTCTGCTTGAAATTTTAAAATGTCGTTATATGAAAACCTTTTTAAATTCAAATGTATTTCTCAATAAAAGTTAACATTCTACAAGTAACATTCAAGAGCTTAATTTTAATATTAATAAACATTATTTTACATATTTCAGAGGTGAAAAAGTTCAACCAAAAGGGTAAGTAAGATATTTGATACATATATGTAGTACTGTTTTGTCATTGAAATTACAACGACACTCCTAAAGGGGAAAATGAAAATCTTGTAAATTTGACGTAGCCTACCATCCATTCAGCATACAATGCATTTCAATTTAAATTCTCTAAGCAATGCTCTACACTGGTAGTAATATATCAAATCAGTATTAACGACCTTATTTTTATTTGAGACACCAGAGTCTAGCATCTTAAATTTGTTGTTTTTTGTTCTTGATTCAAAATCAACAGGAACGATCAGAACTAAACAGGCATAAGTTGTCAAAGATTTATAAATTATTATCGTGAACTGATACTGATTAAACATAAAGACAACCGGAACATCCGGATTCCGACGGTTAGTGATACTATTCAATAGACAAGGTTGTCAACACGTACTGGCAGAATCAGTTGACAGTGGTAACAGACCACAAACGGTCCCGGATATTCAAACTTACCCCTACGCTACACCATTGCACGCCAAGACTTTTTTCAAATTTCTGGTTAGCATAAAGCCACACAATATTACACAGTAAAAGTTCATTCACTGCTGTCATCGTTTAATAACAACAACCACAGTGAGTGTGCACATAATACAAACTTTTCAGAGCTGATGCAACCAAAGAGGATCAAATGTAATCAAACCTCTGACAAGGAATCAGAGCTACATGTATGCATGCGGAAGATACATTTCATAATTAAAACAATTTGCAATTTTGTAAATTTAGTAAAACAATATCCGTATTTTAATTTTATTCACCTGTTATTGAGAAATCGATTAAAAACTGATGATTATTGTAGTTAGATTTTTTTTCAAATCTTTTTATTAGTTTTGTTATTTTTTATTTCAGAATGTAAGTAAAACAAAGAGTGCAGATAAGTATACTTTAAATATGAATACACTCATCAAAGATACCAGGCTTATAATTTTAAACGCCCAACGCGCGTTTCGTAGAGTTACAAATCTTTATGATAAAAAAAATCATAATACCTCGAGACATTGAAAAGCGCCTTATCTTTTGGGGTTTCTTAGTTTGAAATGAAATATTTTTTAAAATTACGTGGGACACTATTTACGGAGACAACAACGTGAATACTACCAATGTTATTGCACCAGATGCACAGTTTAACAATATATGTCTCTTCAGTGATGCTCGAGGCCAAAATATATGAAATTCCAAAACTGCAGAGATTATATAACCAGAAAGGGCGACTAAAGTAAAACCAAACCCAGTGCTATGCATGAGAGAGATACATTCCTTTTTTTTTATTATTTCGAAATTTTGTAACAGAAAATATGAATATATAACAATATCCGTAGTCTCACGCCAGTACCGAAGTTATGGTTACTTGGCTAGTCTGGTATAGCGTCTATAATAGCATTAAAAATCGATAATAGCTGTGAACAAATGCTACAGAAAATAATCAAAAACCTGCTTTCAATATACAATAATCCACATAGGTCTACTTGTAAATGTGTCGGGATGAGGCGTGAGTTATGTCGCTTTGTCCAACAAACAGCTTGTTCTATAATGGTGTGTGTGCTCATTGTACCTTTAAAAAAAAAATTTAAACTGGAAAATCTCATAATTTCTTTATCGCTTTAACCCACCTCAACATATGTTACAAGTCTTAAAACGCTGTTAATACATAAATAATAGCGGTACTGTGGTTTTGATTTATTTTCGTATAAAAAGGATAAGGAATTACAGACCATTAAAGTTAAATTGGCAATTTACTTTGGTCTTTTGATTGCCGGTGTTAGTCCATTCTTTTAATAAAGCCTTTCAGCAATGCTGTGCAACACAATAAATAAAAAAAAAATCTCGTGCATTTCTACTTCACTCACAATGTTACACTCTTTAAAATCCGTAAGCTGCTTTGTTAATCTTGATAATAATGATCATCAATTAAAATTTAACGTTTGGTGAATTATATTGAATTGTAAAATAAAAGGTTTTTTATACTGTACATTTAGTATATGTAATTATTTCAATAAATACGTCTTTTTTTCATTTCAGGGCGTAAGTATACGTAACATTATAGATTAAATATGCCATGTAGTAGATATGCAGATTATAATTCTGACTTTTTTTGTCATCATTGTAAATCTTACACATTGTGTACTATTGTTTTGTTTTTGATTTTTAGTAAACCTTGAAAGACTATAGTTAATAGATTTATGACACAAAATTATTTTACGCACTTCACAAAGTCATATGCAAAGGAACAACATATTTATTGCGGCGGAGGACATTTTAGTGTATTTATAGGACATTTTAGCGAAAACAAATCGGACGTTTTAGCGCCAAAGTATAACCCATTTTAGCGCAAGATGTTTAACCCATTTTAGCGACAAGTTTGAGTATAGTGAGTATTATTCAACCAGGTAAGTTTTCGCAAATATTCAGGTGAATGGGTAAATCCTGCGCTAAAATGGACTCTTAGTTCTGCGCTAAAATGTTCCCTAGTAGTTCAAAATTTTTCGCTAAAATGTCCTGCGCCCAAAGCGAAATTAAGTTTTCTCATCGATGACAAACTTTAAAGTAATCAAACTGGTCTTTCTCGTAATTTTGGTGCTGTTTACTTTATCGTACATTTAGACTAGTTAACTGAGGTCGAATGGGTAATTTTTGTGCAGAGTGTATAATTCATTTATACAAATATGTCAAGTATGTTGGACTATGTCGTGCTTACAAAGTGACACGTTCTGTGTACCTAAAAGAGTCATGGTATTAATTCCGTGAAGGATCATCAGCTAACACCATTTTTGCTTTGTCAAAATCATGCCCATTGTCCGTTCTGCGTCCGGTCGACAGATTTTGCGGTGTTTAATCTTTTAATTAATTCGTTCTATTCCTTAATATGCATTATATCTACGTCATTTGGTCTCTGGTGGATATTTTTCTCATTGTCAATCATACATCTTCCTATTTTTATATAAAATGTATATCCATTTACGTTTAGTACACGAAAATTAATCTTTATTTCAGTTTTCAATGCATGTTAATGTTAAATATTTTTATTTTGAGCAACGATCTGAATTAATATAATTAGCAAACATACTAGCTTTGATACAAAATGTTGGTCATTTCATATACCCTGGTTTCATGATTTCTACAATACACAATTTAATATTATTATAGTTTGCAGAAATGCAGTTAGGTTGAAATTTGAATGTTTTTTTAAGTCTTGATTTTAAACTTGAAGTCTACAATGCAAAAAAAAACAATTCAAATATTCGACACTTATATGTTGAACGCAACAATTGCTTCCGATAAAAACTACATTCTTTATCTTATAAAATCTTTAAAGAAGTAAAAGTTTTTAAAGAAGTAAAAGCTTGTCTTGATTGTGATGTATGTGTGTACTTTGCTTTGAACATATAAACCGAATTCAAAACTGAAATGATAACGTCTTCTTTTTTTTTATTTTCAGCTGGTTAGTATTACTTAGATTGACCACAGTTAAGTATATCTTTTTCTAGTCTTTTTTTTCAAAACAAGGACATGTTCATAGCAACAACTTTCGAACCTGGTACAAGCACTTAATGATAAGTTTATCTAACTCCGACCAGTTTTCCGTAATTATTGTGTTTTTGAAATATCTCCAATATCTTTTTTCTGTCACTTGCAATTCATTTCCTTAATTATGAATTTATGCTATCACTTTATATTCGTGGTTATAAATGAAGTGCATTGTGCAAGGGTTCTGCAGATGTTATGGAGTCCACAATTAATCCATAATTCATGCGTTTATTGAGAATGACAAAGTCGTCAAATTTTGGCAAGGTTTATGTAGCTTGAAGGACAAATGTGCATATTTAGTTGTTTTTAACAAAGTTCTGAACCACTTGGTCGATTTACAGTTCTACGAACTTGCGTGTCCATATCCTTAGTTGCGTTTTATAAGTCATTTGATTTGTTTGATCGCAGATCGGTGATATGAATATGTATAGAAAATATTTACTATGTTATATTTATTATGACGTTACGCACGTTATTGCGTCAATACCGTGTAATCAACAAGTCCACACTAATAAACAGCTTTTCTATAAAATCATAACAGTGAAGTTATATAAATTTTTTATCCATAGACTAGACTAGTAAAAACTATTCCGAAAAAAACTACAAACTGTTTTATCATATTTTACAATAGTCTAAAATAAGGACAACATATTGACAAAACGTCCAAAATATGCGTGTCAGACGTAACAGACTATACGCATAATAACTTTAGCAGGGGTGTTTGTGTTCTTCAAAACAGTGTTATATCCGCGAAAATTTGAATGAATGATATGCTTTATATATAAAGTATTACAATATTATTGAATATGCGTTCCTGTAACAACCAACGTTATTTTTTGGCAAAAACAAAAAGTGTCCATTATGGTCAGATTTAGGAAAATCTTAAGTTATCAAAATTTATAGGTTTCAAAATGTAAGATTATATAAAATTTCGTTTGTGTAAATTATGCTCACAAAAGTACATATATAGACCATATCAAAATCGAATTTTTGCAGCACTCACACCACATATAAAAAGGCAACGGCTTCTGGCAAATGTCTTGCAAGATGTCCAATGTCGGATTTCGCCGTTTTTTACAAATAAACTGTCATTTGCGACGTTATTATTGAAAATTGAGATTTGTTGCATGCTAAATATTGCTTTTCCGTAATTGTACTCTAACTCTACGAAACAGCTACATACTTTTTGATAATTTGCGTAGTCAAAACGACTTCGTTTTCAAAGAAATGAAATGTCTTGCAAGTTTGTCCACTGGACGATTTTCATACGTTTTGAACGTTGTAAATTCGGGACGCTATTTATGGTGGATCATCTGTATATATTTCCTCAGATAGAATTTTCTTGATAGTCAGACACTATCAAAAAGACAACAAAGTATAAAAAAAAATCCAATAGCTGGGGTTGTTCGTTTAGATGAGGTTCTTTAGTTGTGAAAAAATTGTGTATTACGAGAGGATAAAAAATAATCTTTTTCAAATTTTCAAATTTGGGGAGCATAAAACTGCGATTTTTTTTATTTCTCAGCAATAAGATTCATATGTATAGAACTTGAACGTAAAAAATAAAATTGGACCTGAAGCGTGGCTATATACCTCTCCATAACATACAAGGCTTGTAAACATATGAGATGAATAGAATTAACCTTTTTTCTGACAATCTTTTCATCTCTTAATCTAATTGTTCCGTTATTAAAGAAAGTACAGTGAATTTTATAAGCAAGACCCGTTTAACTTGTAATTCCCGACAAACATTTTTTAATTAAATCAAAATATATATCGTCTTCCTTTTCGGATCAAAATGGGGAAACATTGCATTTTATTACGTTTTATGTCCATTGGTCTCTGGTAGAGAGTTGTCTCATTGGCACTCATCATACCGTATATATCTTCTTTTTCATATAGACTTATGCATTACCCAAATACGATATATTTTGTTGTTTGTTGCTTACGTTACTTTCAGTGGGAAATATTTCATGCATATTAAGTACAACCAAACATTAATGTGCAAAACAGAAATTGCAAGCGAAATAAAAAAAATATCCCCAATATAATCATGATAATCATTAATCGCCGTAAAACGTAAAAAAAATGACGTTACCGTTTGAGACGCAATATCGTGCGTAACGTCTATAATAACTCCATTTAAATTCATGAAATTCCTGAGATTTTACATGCTTTGAATTTTCTAGACTCATATGCTAGAATCTATTCTAGTATTCAGTTTTCATAACAATTTGTCCTATGAAGATTTTGTTAATATTTTTTTTCAATTTATTTATTTCATTCTTTTCAGCCGATGTGATAAGTGTCGTATGTAAGTATTAATTCATTGTCACTTATTTTGAAGCATCCTACAAGTGCCTTTGATGTCGAGACACGGGTATACCTTTCCCGCAAGAGCGTAAAACAATATATGCTGCCAGCTTTTTTTTAAATCAAGAATCTGCATAGTCTAACTTTGTTGTATGTATTAGTTGTCCTTCTCCTTTTCGAATGACTTAATTTCTTTATAAATTCAACGTTACATTTTGAAGATTATGCCATTTTCTAACATATTACTTAGAAAAAAAAATAGTTACACCGATTAGTATTTATAGTCATTTAGCTGCTTCATCAGATGATATTTGTTAGATTACACAGGATTGCGTCTAATAAATGTTCACCACATGTAACACTTGACATTGTATCGGTGATTAGTTTGTCCAATAGGAGCGAGTTGACCTCGACATCCTTTTCATAAATTTTATGATTACAAAACATTATTTTGTGCAGTAAAAGTCACTAATAAATATCAATGCTGAATATACACAATATACATGTTAATTATTGTTATTTTGACTATACATATAAAAGTTTTCACATCCTATAACTTGCAGCAGTTGCCTCGGTGCCCGAGTGGTCTTCGGTGATTATTAGCCTGTCAACACTAAGGTTGTGAGTTTGAATCCCAATTATGGCAAGGTGCGTTCGACTCCGATGTTAATTGACTAAAATGGCCAGTTTTCCTGCCCAAAGGTTGGTGGTTCATCCGGGTATTCCGGATTTCTCGACCATTAACAACTGGCCGCCATGGTATAACCAAGAATGCTGCAAGTTAAACAACAACAATCAAGCATTTATAACTTGCAGTTTTGATGTCCATCGCAAATCAAAATTTAAGCACAAAATATTATTGTCATTTTCGTGTAAACTTACGTTACAAAATATATAAATACATCGGCAAACTATTAAAAACAGATTAAATCGGTAGTCTCAGATTAAAATTCATTTAGTGCATAATGAAGTTGTAAAATTTTGCGCAGATCTGTTAACTGGTCCTCTTATAAAAGATCATAGAATCAATAACGAACTCAAGTGATTTAATTATTGACTAATTTGAAATTATTTTTCATCTGCATACATTTTCGTTAATATTGCATACATATCAATGTCACTGCTGTTTGACGTTTTGTCTATTAAACTATCACCAGCCCAGCAGTCAGCATTCTTGTTTTAACATTGAATATCATTGATACGGTCATTAACCATGTTAACTGTACAGCTGATGTGCTTAAAAGGTTTAGATAATTAAAACACTAAGCTTTTTCTACTTCAAGGAATAGATGGCCTTAACCATTTTTGTCACAACTATTAGAAATTTTTCTTCAATTTCGTATTTGGTTTGGTCGTACAAATGTTTGGTTGCGAGTGTCACTGTTGAGTCTTGTGTAGCTGCAACGCGAGTCTGTCGCTACAAACTATATGCTTTGTTTCTTTGATAAGTTTTGTTTTGATATTAAGATAGACTTGTATGTTCATAGAAAAACAGTACGATAACATAAACCAAAAGTGGAAGTTCTACAAAGATGGCTTTATAATTGTGCAAAACAAGGAATTTTATGCTAAGCTATGAATGGCACAGGAGTATCATAATTCAAATTTGATTGGACAAAACGTCCAGAGATACCAACATAAACCAACCAAACTTATATGGAAACACCAAAAAAACATTTCGAATATGGCCAAATGAAACTGAAAGTAAAGAAATTGTTTGCAACACTTTTGGATTCACACAAATTAAATAAGTGATGTCATTAGATGGTTTTTAGGGTAACACTTAGGTTTGTTTGGCGTTTATGCATTAAATAATGTATAAGATTTTTTTCGTTCAAACGTTTTGCATTGAAATTCCACTATATTCTGTACATGTAGGTTAAACAGGAAAAACCCGTATACAAATATACCAAATAGTGCATCACAAGTATATTGTCATTTCTTTACGTTTAAATAAGAACATTTATGTTTGTATTCATATTTGATAATATATATTTATATTTCAGGACCATGGATTTTGTCAGAGAGGTTGATGCCAATTGAAATCTTTTGAAGTCACGATTTCATGTTACAACGTAAATCAAAAGAGAAAGTTTACTGTGAACAGATATACACTTATATGTGTAACCCAAAACAAGAATATAACTTCATAAGTCTTTCAGTGCATTTTATCAATAAAATCAACTGGAATACAAAACTTAAAAAAATCGCAGAAAAGCATTTTTTAAAGACACTAATTTCAATAAATACTAGTAATTGATATTAAATTTTCAGACTGGCAAAGAAATTTAGTCTTTAGATTTTGTATAATAAATGTTTTGGGTATATGTAAATGAGACAGCACCCCAACGACGCAAAAATTAAAATACATCTAGTGATATTATAGCTTTCCCTGTTTAAGACTAGTATGAGCTTTTGTACCTTCGTCGTTCGTTGTCACATAATATGAGCCATAAAAAAACAGACCATTCGCCTATATACATGTATGTTCACATTTTTTTTGGGTAAAATACACTTTAATTGTAAGAATATATGAATACATTTCAGAAGCCTAGTCATAGCTCCTCCTTTAACAGGAATAATACTGAAGTTTTGTTAAGTCAAAATATTCTATTTTGATCCAATCAATGGTGCAAAAGCTTGATTGAGATTGGTCAATTTTCAAATGCTATCCACATTAAGACTACAACTGAATAGAGAATGAAAACGGGATATGTGTCAAAGAGACAACAACCCGACCAAAGTGCAAAAAAAACAAAACAGTCCAAGGCCTCCAATGTGCCTTCAACGCAGCGAGAAATTCCCGCATCCGGAGGCGTGCTTTAGTTGGCTCCTAAACAATAATGTATACTAGTTCAACGAAATGGACGTCACACTAAACTCCGAAACTTACAAATGAACTAAAATTTAAAAACACACAAGACTAAAGAAGGATAAGATTCCCGACTTGGAACAGGCGCAAAAATGCGGCGAGTTAAACATGTTTTGTGAGATCTCAACCATCCCCCTTTACCTCTAGCCAATGCGGAATAAACAAACACACAGCAATATGAACAGTAAAACTATGTTTAAATGAAGTCCGAGTCCGATGTTATAATAGGTAACAGAAGGAACTAAGCAAGATGGGATGTGAAATACCCGAACGTATAAGATGTATGCACGTTGGTTTATATGTACTAATGATGTCCTTGTACCGATGATAAAATTTAGGTAGAGGTTAATTAGGTGTAAAGTAAAGATGTGAGAAATATATTCGACGATTTGTGTTTATAGCACTCATGGCAATTTTTCTATCACACACAACAAGAAAAGACTTATTCTAAATCTTTGATTGTAATTAACCACTTTGAACCTTTTTTGAAGAAATTTTAAAAACACATTCCTTTATACCAAACTGGTATCGTCCAATTTATTGGATAGCATTACCTTTTTCAGATAAATGATACTTTTCAATAGTTTTTCTTTATTTGTTTTAAATGATGATTTAGACACGCCTTTTAGAGAGTCTTTAACTGTACTTGATATGTAAGAAGTGTTCCACTTGTTACCACAAAATAATTAGTAGTGTTCAATGATAAGTTGTAAAGTGGGATTACCTTCTGTGTGCCTATACTTTAAATTTTCAAAATGCTGAATGAACTATTAGATTTTCGGCACATATTTCTCTTCGACTACTGAACAGAGTGTGTGTGGTTTCGGCATAGCGTACATTCTTGTTTTTATATCATGGATTTGTTAGTGTCGTACGGTGATCTGTAGAACAGAGTGTGTGTGGTCTCGGCATAGCGTACATTCTTGTTTTTATATCATGGATTTGTTAGTGTCGTACGGTGATCTGTAGAACAGAGTGTGTGTGGTCTCGGCATAGCGTACATTCTTGTTTTTATATCATGGATTTGTTAGTTTCGTACGGTGATCTGTAGAACAGAGTGTGTGTGGTCTCGGCATAGCGTACATTCTTGTTTTATATCATGGATTTGTTAGTTTCGTACGGTGATCTGTATAACAGAGTGTGTGTGGTCTCGGCATAGCGTACATTCTTGTTTTATATCATGGATTTGTAAGTGTCGTACGGTGATCTGTAGAACAGAGTGTGTGTGGTCTCGGCATAGCGTACATTCTTGTTTTTATATCATGGATTTGTTAGTGTCGTACGGTGATCTGTAGAACAGAGTGTGTGTGGTCTCGGCATAGCGTACATTCTTGTTTTATATCATGGATTTGTTAGTTTCGTACGGTGATCTGTAGAACAGAGTGTGTGTGGTCTCGGCATAGCGTACATTCTTGTTTTATATCATGGATTTGTTAGTTTCGTACGGTGATCTGTAGAACAGAGTGTGTGTGGTCTCGGCATAGCGTACATTCTTGTTTTATATCATAGATTTGTTAGTTTCGTACGGTGATCTGTAGAACAGAGTGTGTGTGGTCTCGGCATAGCGTACATTCTTGTTTTATATCATGGATTTGTTAGTTTCGTACGGTGATCTGTAGAACAGAGTGTGTGTGGTCTCGGCATAGCGTACATTCTTGTTTTTATATCATGGATTTGTTAGTGTCGTACGGTGATCTGTAGAACAGAGTGTGTGTGGTCTCGGCATAGCGTACATTCTTGTTGTATATCATTGATTTGTTAGTTTAGTAGGGTGATCTGTAGAACAGAGTGTGTGTGGTCTCGGCATAGCGTACATTCTTGTTTTATATCATGGATTTGTTAGTGTCGTACGGTGATCTGTAGAACAGAGTGTGTGTGGTTTCGGCATAGCGTACATTCTTGTTTTTATATCATGGATTTGTTAGTGTCGTACGGTGATCTGTAGAACAGAGTGTGTGTGGTCTCGGCATAGCGTATATTCTTGTTTTATATCATGGATTTATTAGTTTCGTACGGTGATCTGTATAACAGAGTGTTTGTGGTCTCGGCATAGCGTACATTCTTGTTTTTATATCATGGATTTGTTAGTGTCGTACGGTGATCTGTAGAACAGAGTGTGTGTGGTCTCTGCATAGCGTACATTCTTGTTTTATATCATGGATTTGTTAGTGTCGTACGGTGATCTGTAGAACAGAGTGTGTGTGGTCTCGGCATAGCGTACATTCTTGTTTTATATCATGGATTTGTTAGTGTCGTACGGTGATCTGTAGAACAGAGTGTGTGTGGTCTCGGCATAGCGTACATTCTTGTTTTTATATCATGGATTTGTTAGTTTCGTACGGAGATCTGTAGAACAGAGTGTGTGTGGTCTCGGCATAGCGTACATTCTTGTTTTATATCATGGATTTGTTAGTTTCGTACGGTGATCTGTAGAACAGAGTGTGTGTGGTCTCGGCATAGCGTACATTCTTGTTTTATATCATGGATTTGTTGGTTTCGTACGGTGATCTGTAGAACAGAGTGTGTGTGGTCCCGGCATAGCGTACATTCTTGTTCTTATATCATGGATTTGTTAGTTTCGTACGGTGATCTGTAGTTGTTAACATCTTTGTTCTTTGGTATTTATGAATAGTTGTCTCAATGTCAATTATACCGCATGAGGGTCTATACATATTTCAAAGTAATATGAGAGTATTTTCCGTTCCTAAACCTGTAGCCTAAAAAGATGGTGAGGGCTTGCTTTGTGTTGCCTATAAGAAACTAATGTTATAATATACTTAATGCATTTTGATAAAGCCATAATGGAAATATATCTAAAACAGAAGTATTTTTTTCAATACTTATTCGGTTGCAAACATATATTTCTGTTTCGGACGACACACTGGTAATATAGCACAAAATGGTTTACGAGATTAGCTTACACACGGTCTGTACCGTTTCGAGTGAACTGTTGAACAACCATTGATGCGACATAACTAAAAGTTTGGTATATTTGGCTTCGAAGATTATTTTAATATATATATAATCATGAGATACTAGAGATTTTCCCATTGCTATTGCGGTATTTTATAATGATATCTTATTTCAATCTTGTAATGCTATAGTAAACGATAGAAGATACATGTAGGATGCAAATGATGATCGTACATATGTCGCTCTGTTAATCATATAGAAGTTCTTTAAAAACTAAAAGACTAAGAATTACTTAGTTCTTGGCATAAAATCCAGATTCGAATCAATCTGCGAACACTTAAATAAAATTGTATAAATTAAAGATGAATTCGATTTTGTTTTCTCTCAATAAAAAATCTACATAACCGGATGTGTATCAACTGATCCGGAATGACTCACATATTCTATTTCGATTGTGTCATCTATTATACTGATTTTGTACTTCAGACTTTAGATAAAAGATATTTCAACCAAAGAGAACAATCTTGAAGACTTTAGACAATCTTTATATTCCTCTTTATTTCATGAATAATCTGTTAATTTTTTGTCACTTGATTTAAGAGAGTGTACTATATTCATGTACATAATTTATCATCGAATAGTTTATAATATATGCATGAACAAATAAGATAAATAAAGGTAAATGTTTGATCATGGTATATACTTGCCATACTCTGTTATCTAGTACGCATTATCCATAGTATCAGTTATAATGAGATATGACCCTGCATACACTAAATAAAATTTGACTAAGTACTTTGTAAATAGTCCTTTACCTTTACTTAAATTTGAATTTTCTTCACCGGAGTTTTGTAGACCGGCAACAGGTACATTTTGTACATGTACTTACCGTTATAGCATATCAAGATAATGACATAAGTGTTTACAAACTTTTTGTGGATTTTTACATCTTTATACTTTCTAAGGTGAGTTTTACATGTTATATGATGTTGAAAGTTTCTAGATTTTTTAAAGCATACATGTACCTTTATTTCATAACGGAATATATCACTGGTAGATAATTAGTGTAAGCGAAAGTTCAGACAAATTTCTCGACACATATATGTATATTTGGAAATGGAAAGTAAGAGATAATATCGAAGACCACACTGATACTACAAGTGGAATATATAAGGCTTTTTGTTCTAATGTTTATGGATGATTATATTGGGGATTTATAACTAAATTGGTTACCGAGTAGCATAAAACTTTCAATGTGTCAGATCCAATATTCTGACATTTTATGGAATTTTACATGGCGGCATTTGAGTTATTTCCCTTTTCCCATATATCTCGACACAGCCCTAGTGTTCCTTTTGTACGATAAAAAAACCCAAATTAAAATGAAACTAATAAAGTAAGAATGAAGTAAC